CTAATCTCTTCTCCCCCCCCTCTCTCTCTCTCTCTCTCTCTCTCTTTCTCTCTCGATCGATCGATCGATCGACGGCGAGCGGCGGCAGACGACGGAGAGCGGCAGACGAGGGCCAGCCGACAGTAGCCGAAGCGCCAGCCGAGATCAGAGACCTCTTCGACCGTTACTCCGAAAATGGAATCATGACCGTCGATCACCTTCACAGGTTCTTGATCGAGGTTGAGGGAGAAGATAAAGCCACAAAAGAAGACGCAGAGTCGATCATGGAGTCTCTCAATGAACTCAAACACCTCAATATCTTCCATCGCAAAGGTCTCCATCTCGAAGCCTTCTTTCACTACCTCTTCAGCGACTCTAATCCTCCTCTCTCTCCTTCTCCTAAGGTAATTCAAACAAAATCATTCTTAATCTTTCTCGCTTTCGTAACCGCTCGAGCCAGATCCATTTCAGAGAAATAGTATATAGTGTTTGAGTTGAGAATACATTGTTCAAATTTGATTTGAAAATTTTGAGGATGCTGAAAATGTATTTAAGCTTTACTTGTTTACTGTTCAAGTCGATTTAGTAATGGATTGTTGAAATTTGATTTGAAAAACTTGAAGATATTTAAATTGTATTTAAGCTTGAGTTGGTCACTGATTAAGTCAGATCTCAAATGAAAAAATATGAATGTAACATTCAAAAACTAATGGTAAATTAATGATAAATTATATAAATATTAATAATTATAATTTTTTCATTCGTATTATCCAAACTCTAAGCTGTGTGTGGGCCACCACCATATTTACAGTGTCCCAACTCTTTGGTAAGCTGAACCATGTATAATGCAAAAACTATAATTCATGAATGAACTTTTTTTTCTTATGCTAAATCATAAAACTAGCAAAATTTCATTGCATTGCAAGCGATTACAGAAAGAAAAACAAGAGTAGTTACTAAATGCAAGTGTGTATCTTTTGCACTCAAACGCAAACGATTAGTAAATGATGGTTCAATGAGGGAATGAACAAATAATCTCTGTGAGACAGAGTAACGTATCTCTTGGACTCCGCACCTTTGTTAGGAGTTATTCTTACAAGGAAGTTGACAAAGCCACCAGCCCGTAAATGTTGGTTTGTTGGATACTCCAGAGTGGATGCTATAGATGGAACATATAAATTCAATGGGAATTGGGATACTGGTTTGAGGATAGGCCATATGCAACAAAACTGATGATTGAAGTGTAAAAACCAGTTTGCTTGAAAATAGGAGATGAATCAAATTTTACATGTGATGTGGTTTCAAATTTTACATGTCAATAATTTGGAATTAATATCACCTTCTTTGAGCCACTTAATCTTTTAGCCTTTTGACCCTAGAAAATTTGCCCCTTAAAAATTTTCCTTTTTTCTTGCTTTTTCTTGGGATATGATTTTGTTGTTGTTAAATGTTAACTGAGTCAATGAATACATGGTGGACCAGTTTTCCAAGGGGTCACATAGCATAATTTCCAGCTACTTGGGAAAAAAGGCATTAAAATGGAATTTATGGAAGTACTCTAATGCAATTAAAGGAGAGATAGCGAATATCTTTTGATTCCATATGTAAGTGATCAAGTTGGATTATCTTCATTAACTTCACCTGATTGGGATTTGATCTAGCAGTAATGGTTCTAAATTTTTCATCTGAACATGGTTCAATGCAGGCATAGCCGTGGCATCTCAAGCTTCTTCAGCTAATATAAAAAGGAAAACGGAGAAACATGTTGATGATGGTGGTGGTGATATAGTTAAAGCAGTACCAAACCTGAAGTTGCTTCAGCATCATCATTGCGAAGTGCTAGTGAGTATGACAATTCAACTCCATTGGTCCAGGTTACGACATACAATAGCGTTGAAGTTCAGGAGTTCTCATCTGATGGCAAGATTTGAATATTTTCCTCCCTGTTTTTAGCAGTAGTTGTGTAATTATTCTTAGAGCCTGTTTGGTGCAGCTTTTCCAAAGCTGTAAGTTGATGATAAATAGAAGCTAAAAGAATGATTTCCCCAGCTTTTTTCAACTTTATTTGAGCTATTTCTGTCTCATAAGCTGTAAGTAAAAGCTGCACCAAACACTTTCACAGACTCAAAATAAGAAAAGTTATAAGCAGCATTATAAGTTGCACCAAACAGCACCGCAGTTGAGCAGACTCATTATTTATTCATTTACAATGCAGTGCAAGACAGTGGGGATGTTAATGACAGTGCAGATGCAGCAAAGTTGATTAAAAATATGGGGTTGAGTGAGGAGGTAAATGGTTCATCAGAATATGGAGGCGAAGATGAGAATGGGACGACTTTCAATGACACTGATCGAGCCGACACTGATGACAACGGCGATAATAAACCAGAGCATCCTGGTGAAGTGTCAAAATACGAAAGAAATCTGGAACTTCTTAACATCATGACACACTCCATTTTTTTGAGTTTTATGTTAGGAGCGCTCTCTCTCTCTCTCTCATGTGTATTGTGTAGAATATATGTACAGAAATTTCTTAGCTTAGTTTGCATGTCAGGGTTGATCTGTTATCTAGTTACAGCATAGCCTAGTTAATTTTGTGTAGTATCACCAGATGGTGCATTTTTCGACTCTCATTCATAACCGTATCTCATTTTTTGTGCCAGTTGGACTTCATTTCTATTTTTTTTTATGGATGAAATCGACAGCATTGGATCTGCTTGAATGGAATTTGGATCTGGTAATGGTGATAGTGAAGTGCAGGGGACGATGCTGGAGCTTCTCAATCAACTAGATGGATTATAGCATCTAACAAAATCAAAGTACTGATTTCATTCTCTTAAACTAGCAACATGAGGGTGCTACTGCTCTGGGTCTTCCAGTTGCAACGAGTGCATATGTGTATACATTGATCTTTGTAAGTAATTTGAGTCATTTTCTTTTAGTTATCTTTATCTGTCCTCTTATTTGACATTATTGTAGAATTTATAGCTATACATACTGTTTGGTCTGAAATTAGTCATTTGTACATTATGGTTTTTTCATCTCATAGACTTGTTTCTAGACTTGATGGGACTTAAGGCTTGGTTTGGTTTGTTTTGTTTTATAGACTTGTTTCTATAATGGTTCAAAAAGAAAGGAAAAAAGAATAAAAGAAAAGAAAAGTGACTTGTTTCTATAAGGTTGAGGCTAACTTTAGGAGTTCAATATGCACCATTACACAAGTTATTGCATGGGGAATTTTCTTAGTTGCAATCTGACATTTTGTTTGATATGACCAGATACAATCTTGAAGAAGTATTCATCAACTGTTGCCACAATATTCACAGGCATAACATCTGCTGCATTATTTGGCCACTCTGACTATAAACTTTATTTTAGGAATTACAGTTGTTTTCATCTCAATGCACCAGGTACTACAAGAAAGAGAAATATATTTTAATGATTACCATGTTATTTTCAGGCTTACCTTGTGTTTCATTTTCCCCCCCTTTGCAGTTCTTTTCTCCTCTTTCAAAGGTCAAAGATGAACAGCAAAATGGTGTGGTGCAACTAAAGGATGTTCAGGATAACCACAGGTATTTGCTTCTTGTTTTGTCTGTTATAATTCAGAATGCCTTCATTTCAAGGACGTGTTTGGAGATGTATGTGGAATTGGGAGATTAATTGTCTGTATGACCTGAAAGTGTACTAAAAATTATTATTCTTGGTGTTACCCACTTGAAAATACACAAAAAGAGATCTAATAAATTGTTATTTTTAAAATGGGAACAGTCTAATAACGGAATGAAATATTGTAATGTGTACATATATATATATTGAGTGATATATTGTAATGTGTACTAAGAATTATTATTCTTTGTGCAAAAAGGTTATATCGTGTATTTCTGTTTGCAGAAACACATACATGCATGTGCACATTGGTTGTTTTTGTTTTGATTGGCTCAATTACTTGCAAGAATATGTTGAGTGGAAAATTTTTATGGTTCTTGTGCTGTGCATTTTGTTTGTTTGTCAAATATTGTTTTCCCTTGTCAAGACATCCATTTGAATGTTAGTTTGGAAGTGGGACACTAAATTTTGTCGTATCAGTTTACAGTAGCTTGTTGCTCATGTGTGATTCAGCGGCCTTTGTGGTAGTCAACATCCTTGTTCATTGGATTGATCAAATAACAATTTTAACTTAGATTTCATCTGCATCACACATTGTACAATATTGCTTCTTCAGTTAGTAGATTTATATGTCTATTATATTAGAAAAAAAATTATAAGTGCTTATCATGCCAACCTTTTGCACGTATTTACTGCAGAATATTCTTTAATATGTAAAATTTATGAGTACAAAAGCCATATATAAGCTTCATGGACAACATAACAATGGGATTTGGAATTGGCCTATCTGGTCGTGGTCGCTACCAGCTTATCACTGAGGTCTGGTTGCCTTTTCTAGCACATATATATATAGATATATATATATATATTTAGATAAAAAACACTATTTAAGTTATTAATTTTTACTTGTTTGAGTTTCTTTCAGAGGTCTGCTTGCTATGCCAAAAAATGGGATTGGCTTGTTTCCAGATGTGGGCTTTTGCATATATAGCAGCACGAACTCTAGGGAGAGGATCAGTTGGTATGCTTTCTGTTATTTAAAAAGTTCAGTTGGGTTCTATGGAGGGAATTTTTTTTATGATGTTATGTTTTCTTTTGTTTGCACATTGAAGCTTTTTGGTATCACCTTTAAGTATATCGAATTTATTGTTTAAATTCATCATTGAGGGGCATGATGCTCATTATTTTTTTAACAAAAGTAAGGTGAAAATGTGATAAATCTACAAATCAGTTTTATTTTTTTTTGATAAACTGATAAATCATTATTTTATTGATAAATCTGCAAATCGGTTTTATTTTAGCAAATGTGATAAACTGATAAATCTGAAAATCTGAAAATGTAAGGTGAAAATGTGATAAACTGATAAATCTGCAAATCAGTTTTATTTTAGCAAAAGTAAGGTGAAAATGTGATAAATCATTATTTTTTTTTATGATGTTAAAACGCCGCTAAAAATCAGTTTTCCAGCAGTGAGTATGTCATCGTTTTTCTTACAAGAATTAATTTTTTACTTTGTCAGGAAAAAAGAAGAAAAAGAAGAAACCCCGGTTGCCTTTGAATGGTATATTTGCTGTTTTGTTGTATATCCCTTAAGACATCTCTCAGAGTTAGTTTGTTGGGATTTGGGGAATATATATATCTGTCTCAGTTAATTAGCTTTGTTAGCCTTCATGATGCTGCCATCATTCTGTTTCACACTTTGGATGCATTTCAGCTGCGGAGATACAGTGGAAAATGTCTCAAGACCTTGCTGCTAAGAACTATATGATGCCTAGGCCCTGCCGCTTATAATCTGCATTTTTTACACCTTCAAAATATTCTATAAATGACATTTGATGTAGAATTTTTTATACAGAGGACATCTTTTTTGTATGATTTTGTGTTTGTATGGAATTATTATTTTGGGTTGGATTGAGAGTCCAAATTTGGCAAATCTTTGGAAAATTGATTTACAATTAGAAATGCAAAAAATGGACTGCATTGCTAGATTTCAGAGTCGCCACCTAAATATTTTTAGAAAACTTAGGAAACTTGTGACACGTGCCAAAGGCCACTTGTCCATCATAACCAAAGTGTCTTGGCTCGGGGAACTTAGGTATGAGAGGTGAAGGTCATGAATTGAGCACCCTACTCACCCGATCAAAGATTGGCTTCTACTAATCATGATGTGATTTTTATATACAGTATATGCTCTTGTTCTGATTTATTAATGCTAACTTACTACATGAGGCACACAAGTATAGACCAAGTCACTCACTTTGGAATGCTTTGATTTCATGCTTTGTTTGAAAAGAGTCTTGAATATGTGCAACTTGAAAAAGTCAGCTCATATATGCATTAATCAAATCATCTCGATTCAAGCGAACTAGTCTTCATCCATAGGCATTCAAGAGGTATATCAAATAAGCACTTAGCCTCATGGTAATATGCTTGATATGGCAACACTAGCACACATGCAATATGCTAAAGCAAAAAATGCTCATCTAGTACTCAACCGAGGCAAGCAAAAATAGAAGAAATAGTTAGAAAAAAAAAGCATGCTCTAATATGCAAATGACTACACGTACAAAATGCAACTACTAGGCTCAGTTTATTAACATGACATATGGCTTAACTCAAAGCATGTGTTTAACGCATGTATTCAAGTAAGTAGGAAATGACAACAATGTTAGAATGATAAACCGAACCCGATGTATGCAAAAAATAGATACTTTACACATGGTAATGATATGAAACCAAAATATGATACTACATCCAACCATCATAAGCAAGTAAATAAAAGAGAGAAAGAAATGGGGGTTAGAAGACATACACAATATTACAAGTATGCCCGAATGTAAGAGGGTCCGAATGAATGTCCTAATTAAACTAAATATTACAACACCAAATAAATGAATAAGCTAAATTAACTAGCTATTACAAATTTGAATAGTAACTAATTAATTACAACACACTAATATTAAAGCACTAAATTAATGGAACGGGAAGCGAGGAGCCACGAGCCCACAATCGGCAACATCCTCTCGAAAACCTCTTTGTTTGCTGCTAAATTCTATTCTATTTTGTAGTCAAAAAATTATTTTGTTTTTGCCTCAACTTCTGCTCTGTTCTACATGAAGAATGCCACTGCCTATACAACAAGGTGGCCGACCGACCTTGGGAAAAGGTCGGCCGGACAGAAAGATGGCCAACTGGCCACTGTTTTTGGGTTCTGTCCTGCTACCACAGAATTGAAATAGAGCAAAACAAAGTGTTTCTAGGAGATGTTTATCCTTTTTGCCTCTCAATCGTCGCAAGTTTGTTGTGTGATGATCTATGAACCGATTGGACAAAAGGTCAACAAATGGAATGAAAGACCAACAACACCTCTTTCCTATCACAGAGTTACTCAAGAAAAGGGATAAACATTGCTTCTTGAATCATTGAGCATCACTAAGAGTATGTAATGATTCGA